TAGAAACAGAGCAATTTACCTTTCTTACATGTTTGCATACAAAACAATGATAAACAAATACACTAGTTCAATGTTTAACCCGCCTTCTTTCATTAGAAACAGAGCAATTTACCTTTCTTACGTGTTTTCATACCAAATGATGATATACATAGTTCCACGTTTAACTCACTTCATACCAACCATGTCAAAAAGACACTATGATAAGTGAATTAAAAAGAATACACTGAATCTGTTTCACACAAAACTCCATCACAGAAACCTTAACTGATGTGAAAAAATTTATCCAAAAAAATGATGGACACTCAAAACAATACATCAACCATTTTTTTTTCAAATATATGAAAATAATAAAAAGAAACAAATAATTCAATAAATAAAATCACAAATCCCATCATCACCATTTATCAAAAATATGGTCACAGCCAATATTAAAAGAAAACTTAAAAAATCAGAACTACCAATAAGAAAATTCAAAGAACTTTTAGTACATATGCCTTTCATACCAACATTATGTGATAAGAACATCTGATAAAAAAAAAAATGAAAAATGACAATAGAAAAAGGATGGTACCTTTAATTATCAAAGAACATACACTTATACATTGAAAAAAAAACTATACAACTTTCACCTAAAATCAAGTATTTTTTTGTTTCAATCTTCAATCTCACCAATACATTTTCTCTTAATTCCAAAATTTACTTATATTATTTTTAGTTAATATTTTAATTTTGCTCCACTCATCTTTTAACAATTTCTTTCAGAAGTCTTTACTGTTGTCTTTTCAAAACTGTAAACTCTTTAACAACATTTTCTTCTAAGTTACTTGATGTCACCTCCACACACCCCCAGCACATAAGTGACACAAAAAAAATAACATGCTTTGAAACCAAACCTTATAACTGTACCAGAGTTGTTACTCTGCTCTATGGTCTCTTAATAAAGATTTATAACTGAAACATTTGGACATAAAATTAAACATTATTGAGTAATTATAGTATTTTGGCACTTGTGTATAAAGTTACAATCATAAATAATATTCAACGTTAAACTGGTACACAATTAAATATTATTTATGATTGTATTATTGAGTAAAACAGGTCATCTATTTCTTTTCATATTTATGTTTGGAATAAAAGAAATTATGCACTGGCAACAGAGCATAAATGCATAACTCCTTATAGATATACTGTAGAAAACCACAAGTACAATAATACAAAATATTTTACTTACAATAACATTAAAGCCAGCAGCTTTCATTTCAGTTCTAAATTTTTGTGTGTTTTTTTTCACTTTATCAGTCAAAGTGGAACTGTCCATCAATATGTCAAACACCTAAAAACAAAACAAAAACCGGCAAATAGTATGTGTATGCAAAAAACTACTTGTTTTGAGTCTGAAGAAAAATATTTACATACCATTCTTAATCCTCTTTCATTCACTGTATTCATAGGTTTAACAAGCTGCCAAAAAATTACTTCCATTTAAAACTATTACCTACATATCGAAACTCAAAATCTACAAAAATATAACCATTCTATAATAAATGCCACCGGATGCCTTATTGACCAAAGTGCTACAGTTTTAGGAAAACTTTTCAATATTGCATACTGAACAAAGCTTAATTTTTAAACCTATATTTCTCTATAAACTGATGTCTTTACATAATAAGCAAATTAACTGTTTTTTTAAAATGAATTAACAAAAAAAATAAAAACCAGACAATAGCTGAACTTTAAAAAAATCCTAATTGAAAAATGTTATCCTACAAATACAATGGAATTTTTCAGGATAATTTATGTGTTAAGTGGAGATAGTGGCTTTGATAGAATGGATGAATTACACATAGGTTGAACTTAGGTGTATGTATGTACTTTTAAAGGTTCAGTCTGTCAAAAGATAAGCCACACCATCAAATTTATCATAATCTTATCACACATTTACTCACAATCTGAAATCCTCTAAATCTACATTACACATTACTAATAAAATTATGAGAATAAACTAAAATAAGGAAAAAGTTGAATTGTTAATATGTCATGTCAAATTTTCCATCAACCTTGTCAAACCATAAAATGCAAAAGGTAAAATAACTTATCCTGGACAAAAGTATTAATTACTAATTCTATGAAAAAAACACCTCATATTCAAACTTAGTTCATATAAAACAAGTACATATGAATAATTATCACACAGCTGCCACACTTACTAAGGCAAAGAACAATTCACACTTTCCTTTACATTGAAAGCTAGAACTTTTCATTCCTTTGCAATGTAACATGATCAAAAACAGATTAAATCATGGATCTACTCACAGTTTTGCTATTCTTAAGCCATATGGTACAAAAGGAAAAGTCACAGAGCACATAATATTGGGTTACAAAAGTGTAAACCATATTCTTAAGACACAGAACACATAATATCCAATCTTTTCAACAATAAACCAGACTTTCACAGCTGCAGTAGGTATTTTTGAATATTTTTTAACTGATGTTTGTAATTTGTATAGATGGCTAAAAGAGTAGATTTTTATAAACTGGGTATAAAAAGTAGACAACTGGTTGTCACATTCCATGTTTTACTCTGGTTGAACTGCATCATTACTGCAGTTCAGAATGAATGGGATGAGATTGTTTGTAACCGAAAAAAAACAAAAAACTTCATTTCGTCATGTATACCAAATTAAAAAAAACTTATGGAAAACATTATAACACAATCTCTTGCCTTTTAGTCAAAACAACCAAAACCCACGTAACTTGCACATGACAGACATGGCATTTTTGAAATAAAACTTAAGTTTTATAAAATGTTTTTTAAAGAAACTAATCTTAAACTACATCAATATAAAACATATTGAGGCTCATACCATGAGTGTGTAAATAAGATAAGTCTCAAAATACAATTATCAATGTAACATTGATTTGTAACTTCAAAACCTTAATAATAAAAAGAGCCTTACTTTACTGGCACAAGCAACAACAGGAGGTGGCAAAGTATTGGAAAACAGATATGGTCTTGACCTTTGTCGAAGCAACTCAATAACTTCTTTTTTACCTGTAGTATATCCACCTTCATGGAATAAAAACAATAAGCAAAATCTTATCGTTATTTTTTTATCTCTGTTAGACTCAAAAAGTAAATAAAAAGTGCACAAAAATTAGAAAAAAATTATCATTTTTTTTTAATGAACCAAAACTACATTAACTATTTTTTTAGTGTTTGAGCACCTTTGAACCACTGTGGTGTAAAAACAAATAAACTTGGATGGCACAGTTCAATGACAATGTTTTTTACAAATGTTTCCACATTTTATGACACCCACAATATGAGTGGTATATACCTACATTTTATACAAAATTCTTCTAAGCTTGGGGACTGACCCTGGCATGAGAAGCAATAATTGATTACAATCACATACAGAAGAAGACAGCAAAACACTGTTTCTTATATATCATAGTTGTATCTTCTAAAGAAATATTATTAACGAAAACAGCAGCACTGCCTGAGTGAGACTGAGTTCCAATAGGATTGGAAGTAGCCTCCAGTCTGTTCTAGGCTAACTGCTATTATTTTTCCACATTTTCAGCACAGAATTCTGAAAACATAAATATTTATTTAAAATCAGTAGAATCACAAATAATTTTTTAAGGCAACCTATAATTTAGAATGTTTTAGTTGTTGTATGTTTCCAATAGCACCTACACCGGGGGGCTACTCTAAATAGCTAACAGAATTTTTTATACAAATTTTTATGTTACTAAAAAGCAAAGTAATTTACAGCAGTTTTTGTATACTCTACTCTATTGAGTAATATATTTTTGATGTTGTAAAGTGTATATCTGAAAACTACATAACATATTTTTGGACAATGAAATCTGTGAGATTCAATGAGGCTTAGGAAAGAATGGTTTCTGATTATCACAAGTTCAAACCAGTTTGATAGCACAGTGAGTACTATTAATCCTTGCTTTTATGTATACTTTTTAAAAAAGCAAACAAATGTAAACATTAGAAACTTCTCATCTTAGCCTTATGAAACTTTAGTAAGTAAAATAAAATATAAATTTCCAAGCTAACAGCAAATATCATGTTAAGCTTGCTGTGTTTCACATGTTATGCATTTTATAGTTTGCCAAGAACAGCTAAAAGCTCCTGTTGTGATTTACTGCTTTGTTGTTGCCATGGTTACTGCTACAGTGGGTACAAGGTGTTGCAATTAATTCGTTTGCTAAAGGCTCGGTCAATTCAGCTAAGTTGATGACCCCAAATTGAGCGTTATAGTTTTAATACTATAACTTCTAATAGGTTCTGTGTACCTTTATGAAATTTTGTAAGTTTTCAGCAAGGATTAAGTCTTTTGTAGACAAAAAGTCAGAATTTTGACAAAATATTTTCCCTATATGTAGAGTCAAATTGTTGACTGCTCCAAGAGCAAAGTGAATTTCATGTTAAAATTACAAATACTTTTCTTCATCTGAAAATAGTCAAATTTCATTTGCATAATCTCTAAAACCTCCTAAATAAATTTCAAACATTTTTTTTCAGTAAAACTTCATGTTTTATCTGCTATTTTCTCTACCCTAACTCTATACAAGGTTGGTCAAATTGACCAACCTTGTAACCACTATAAAAATACAAAATAAGTCTAAATTACCCTTTTTTCTTTCTAGAATGACTTCAGATTGTAACATGAAAATACATTTGTTTATCCTAAATAACTTAAATCTCATAACAGTATCCATCTATTTCTAGTTAACTTTTATTGTTTTATTGCTATTTGGACTGTATCTAACTAATATTCCCACCACACAAGTTGTAAATCACTTGGAAAGCATGTAGCTGATGTTATCCTATTCAATTACACAAGACATGAGCTTCTGATGAGCATACATTATGAAAATTTTTATCATCATTATTTTTTCTTTATCATATCTAATCTAATGTAATCAATTTCTAGTTTTTAGGTTTTAGTTACTCTTATAACAATAAATAAGGAATACACTTAAAAACAAGAAATATAACAGTTGCCTGGATTGTTTTCTTTGTTATCGACTGTCAATGAAACTTCAGCCTGCTTTTTTTTACACTAATGGTACTACTACACTTAAATAATGTTTTTTATTTAATTAAATACTATACATAAGAACACAGAAGAAGAAAATGTAAAAAGGAGACAATGTACCATAAGTATCACAATTTTTCTGGCTTAAGTTCGTCAATGTATTTCGTTTGGGAATTAAGTTTGAACTGAAAGCAGAATAGACAATTCTATGTACAGAAAACAACATAATACATAATTTCATAGATTAAAACTTTGGGTTTCTATTTGTTATAAATAATATAGTATTAAACATCAGAGAGAACTATTTGCAATGTGAAAGAGAGGATGTGACAGGTGGTCATGGGAAGAGGGGTCTGATTTTCTATTTTATGATTTTGTAACCAAATAATATTGAAAAGTGATAAAAATTATGCCTTGTCTGAATGATAAAAATATTATAATGAGTAATTTACATTAAATTCCATATTTCTAGGAGAAGTTATAAATAAATTAGAGAAGAGAAGATACCTAAAGATCAAATTTCACAATTCTCACACTAAAGTGAAACTGAGGATTTTTTTCAAATATTTCCTTATACAAGTAACAACTTAAAACTTATATATCAAAATTTGATCTATTAAATATGTTTGTATGTCAAGCTTATTTGTATACCATGATAATAAAGTAGTTTAATTAAATTTTGAATGTAACTCTCTAAAAAGGTCATGACGTGCATTTTCATCTACAAATAACGAGAGGGTTAGACCACAAATAATAACATACAGGAACTAATTAACTCTCTCCCCATGGGGTTAGTCAAATTGATGAGGTATTTTGTATTTGTTTGTTATAGTTTCCAAACTATAACTTGTTACACAATAAGTGTATCTTCATAAAATTTGGCAGACTTTCAATAAACATAACAAGTCTTATATACATAATAATAAATCTTTTAATGAAATATTTTTACTAAAGATTTGTCTGTGAATACATTGAGTCTTTTTTTGACTAGTCCAAGTACAATGTGATTTTCATGTTAAGATTAAAGTTTTCATTTGTGTAATTTCTAATGCCTCCAAAATAAATTTCATAATTTTTTTCCTGTAAACTTTATATTTTACCTGTTATTTTCTTTACCCTACCTCTATACCAAGTTGGTCAATTTGTTTGATTTCATAACCACCAAAAAAATTTGAAATCTAAATTACATTTTTTCTATTTTCTAGAATGACTTCCAATTGTAACATGAAACTGCATTTGTTTATCCTAAACAGCCTTAAACTCGTAACAGTATACTTTTATTTATATTTAAGTTTTATTTCTCTTTGAATGGTGTCTAACTATTTATTATTCATGCCATATAAGTTGTAAATCATGTGGTAAACATGCAGCTTACATTACAGTATCAAGTTACATAATGCATGGACTACTCGCAAGTGTATCTTGTAAAAAAAATATTATCATTATTCATTATTTTTACCTTACCTAACCTAAAAAGTTTCCAGTTTTCCCATTTTAGTTACTTTTATGATAATAAATAAAGAATACACAAGAAATAAAGTTCTTAACTGGGTCTTTTTTTCTCATATCAACTGTCTATGACACTTAACCTTTTTTCTACTAACAATACTACTGCACTAAATATTTTTTTATTTAATAAAATAATGCAACATAATACTTTTTCTGGCTTTCTAACTATGTGACATGAGCCAACAGAAAAGTTCATCAATGTGTTTCCCATGTGTACAAAGCTTGAACTGGATGAGAAACTGACAATTCTCTGTGCAAAAACAACATAATAATTACTAATATATAATTTTATACAATAAAACCATAGCTTTCTTTTGATTATAAATAACATAGTATTGAGCATAAGAGAGAACTATTGGCAATTTCTGAAAGAGAGGATGTGAAAATTTGGCATGGCCAGAGGGGTCTGATTTTCTATTTTATTGCTCTGTAATAAACAAGATGGAAGGCTATGACAATTATGCTTTGCCTGAGTGATGACAACATTATAAATGAGTAATTTATGTTAAATTTCATACTTCATGGAGAGGTGGTATATGAATTAGACAATAGGAGATGCCTAAGAGAAAATATCACAATCATTACAATAGGAAAAATTCAAGATTTTTAAAAATATTACCATATAAAATTAAAACTTATATAGCATTAAAATTTGGTTTATTATCTGTATTTTTATAACAGATTTATTTGTATACCATGATAACAAAATAGTTTAATTAAATTTTGAATGTAACTCACTAAAACCTCATGACATGTACAGAAGATAATGACTGTGGCAAGAAGGTTAACAATTGAAACTTTAAAGGTAAGTAATTTGAACTTTCTGATAATATTGCAATGGAAATAATGGTATTTCTCATTTTATTTTATATTTTCCATCTTTCACAATACATTGCTGATTTCTCTACAGATCCAAAAATCCAGTATGTTGTTAGAAGAGAGAAAATATGAGATAACATAAAATTTTATCAAAAAATAATAATCCTTTGATATTAGGCTATTCTAAAGTTATTCAAATGAAATAGGAAAGCTGTAAAGTGAAAAGAAGTATTTTTTTATTCATAGCATGAAAAGAACCTTTCCTTAAGACTGACTTAGTAAAGGCTTTATAAATTTACAGACAAATTTGACATACAAATACTTTATTAAAAACACACAAATTTTCATGAAGATACAAATAGTAAATCTGGAGTTATAGCATGCACAGTTTCCAGGTCGGTCCACCTGACAGATGCCACTCTACGAAGGTTAAGCATATCATTGTATGTGGTTTGTTTCTAATAAAATCCACAAATTTGTAAGTTTCTTTGTCCTTTCATACCATGCATTTCAAAGTTATAATTTTTCCTATATTGAAAATATATTTCCAATAGGCACTTGCCTCCTCTCACATATATAGCTATTCTCGTTCAGTGCTGCCAACTATACACAAACATTTTTAACTATGCCACAAGCCTTGCACTCCCACGTACCCCACAGTTATCATGGTCCAACTGCATCTTTCATGCAACAACCCTCCACCAATAGGAATGTGACACACCTTCCTGACACATGCGACTCCCTCTATTCAATTCTACTGATCTATCCTTTTGAGTTTAGGCAGAAAAGGAAGCACAAGTTTTCAGTGGGGAGGATGGGTGGGAAGTACTTATCAGAAATATATTTTCAGTATAGGAAAATTATTATAACTTCTGATACGGTACATTACCTCATATATATAGCTAGAATCACACATTGAATAGGTGGAGGGACCTGTGTGAGGCATAAAAAGAAACATTTATCGAAATCATCAAATCGACTGACCTCGTAACCTTGAAATAAACTTAAATTAACCTTTTTTCTTTCTAGAATGACTTCAAGTTGTAACATGAAACTCCATTCATTTATCCTAATTAGCTCTAAGTTTGTAACATTATACATTTATTGTTTCATTGCCCTTTGAACCATGTCTAACTACTTTCCTCGCCATAAGTTGTAAATCACTCGAGGAACGTGCAGCTCACGTTATGCTAACAAATTACATTACCCACGAGCTGCTAGCGTGTGCGCCTTGTGAACCATTTTAATTATATTATTACTTATTCTACCTAATCTTAAATAACTTAAAAGATATGTATTTTTAGATTTTAGTTACTTTTATAATAATAAATAAAGAGTAAATATGAAAAGCAAGAAATATAATACATACCCAATCTTTTTTCTTGCCCTCGATTGTCGACAAGAGTTAAGCCTGATTTTTTATGGTAATTATAGTAATGCACTTAACAATTTTTATTTAATTAAATAATGCACCAAAGAAATAGAGTAATAACATGCAAAAAGTAGGCAAATTCACTTAACTCTCAAAATTTCCTGGCTTTCTAACTATGCAACAAGAGCCATTACAAATTCATCCAAGCTAGCCGTTAACTTTCCCATGGAAATGAATCTTGTACTGTGAGTGGAATTGATGATATTCTGTTCAGAACATAATGTTATACAATACGTCATTTGATAGATAGAAAACCTTGACTTTCTATTGGTT